CAGAGGGCCTATGGGGAAGACAGACCAAACACCACTCCAGTTCCTTCTCAGCTATGAAACCCATTCAAGGTAAGGACTCAAAAGAAGAGGGGAAGGAGAAAGGGTAGTGAAGCACCCATAGGGAAAAAACACCCTGAAGAACTCTAGTTACTGTACAAATAAGTAATCTCTCTTTCTTTAGGTAGCTCTCCCTATGGAAGCTCCACTTTAAGTGATTCCCAAGCAGTGTCCCAACTACAGAGGTGAGTGCTGAGGAGATGGCTCTAATACTGATTGGAGAACAGCCACACCAAAGGCTGCATCTCAACTAGGAAAAAGTGTACATAGACAACTAGGTGGCAGCTTTACACGGGTCTGACATGTGTATGTTTTTAAGTAGAGCAACAGAGCTACCCTAGTGGAATGGGAAGACACGTTTGCTGGGGATGCACTCCAGAAGCTTCATAACATGTCAAAATACACACACACTTTCATAGTCTGAGTGGAAAGAGGGGCTCCCTTCATCTGGTCTGCAAGAGAGAGTGAGTCTAGGATAGGCTCTGAAGAACATGGTCCTTTTGAGGTAGAATGCAACAGCTCTTCTCATGTCCTGAGTGTGAAAAATAGTTTCTTGTCCTGAAGTGAGAGGTTTTGGGGAAAACACTAGCAACTGAATGTCCTGATTGACATGCAAGTCCAAGGAGATCTTGGACAGGAAATGAGATTGGGGACATAGAATCATCTTGTCCCGGTTACATACCATGTAGGGTAGATCTGTCAAAAGTCTCCCAAACTCCCCTACCCTTCTGGCCAAGTGATGGAGAACAGAACAACTTCCCATGGACTTAAAGGGTGGTTCCTCAATACATTGACCAACCTTCCTCACATCAGAAAGCCTACTCCACCTGGGACCTTAATCTATTTCTCAATCCCTTAATGAACCTTGAAGTGAATACTGAAGGGTGCATGAATACTGAAAACCCTTCAACTGATAGGTGAAAGGCGGTAATGTCAGCCAGCTGGACTTTGATAGAGCTCAGCAACAAGCCTAGAGTTTAATTCAGCATGTTTTCAAGTATGTGGGTGATATGTGACTTGGAGGGAGAAATTGCCGACTGGATGTTCCAGCAATGAAATCTCTTCCACTTTTGCACGTAAGACTTTCTTATGGAAGGTTTACGACTAGTTAGTTGGGGATTGGTCCTGCTTTGAACAGGGGGTTGGACTAGATGACCTCCTGAGGTCCCTTCCAACCCTGATATTCTATGATTCTATGACTATTCAACAGCATATTCTGTACTTCAAAAGAACAATCCTTTTCTACACCCGAGAGACATCAAGAAGCCAGGCCTTGAGACATAGCAAGGAAAGATTGGGGTGAATTATTGTGCCTGATTCTTGGGCCAGTAGGTCTACTGTCAAAGGGAAACAGAGGTGGATTCAGACACAAGGAAATCAGATCCAGGAACCATATGTGCCTCAACCATGCTGGTTCTATGAGGATAATTACCAATTTTTCTTGCTTTAGTTTGTTGAGTAGCAACAGCATCAGGGGATAGGCATACAGCAGAATTTGAAGTAAAAAATTTAGGAAGGCATCTCCCAAGAAGAGTTTCAACTGTGTCTTCCTCCTCAAACAAAAACAGCAGCATTTTGTGTTGGATGGTGCCCCAAAGAGGTCTATCTCTGGGAAGCCCCAAGTGAGAAAAATCTTCAGTAGCATAAAACCACATTTCCCATTTTTGATCCTGACAGAAATGTCTGCTCAGCATATCTGTATAACGTTGTTCAGACCTATCAGATATGTCACTAAGATGTTTATTTGGTGGGTTATACACTAGTTCCAAAGTTTTATTGCCTCTGCACACAAGGATTGGGATCTTGCTTCTTGTCAGCCCTCTTGCAAGTAGGCGGGATAATGACCCATGTTTTCCATATTGTTTGGACCAGTGACAGCAGGAGGTCATTTATAGGTAAGGTTACCTTGCTTTGGGGAGAGGTGCGTAGGTTATCCACCAAAGCATATTATGGTTCCTGCACCACTTCCAAGGAGATCTATAAGGATTCAACTACCTTCTTCATGAGTTCTTGGAAGAAATTCAATTAATCCTCACAGGAGGAGGGAGGGAACATACCTGCCTCATAGGGCAAGGAAGAGGACATAGATAGCAGGGCCTCCTCCACTCTCAGCTCTTGTTCTTCTAAGGGGTCCTTTTGAGGAGGGGGGTTCTGGGGTACCAGTGGCTGCCTCCCTTGGCGGATCCTCTTACATGAGGGTACCCTATAGAACAGGCCTCTGTACAGGACCCAAGGATTACAGAAGGCCCAATAACATGCCTAAAGGCCTTACAGGCAATATAAAGGAAAGGAGAGGGGCCCCAAGGTGCTCCTGATATGAAGGTTGTTGGGTCAGTTGTCAACTGGTATCTGGGGTCTCTGCCTTAGGATACACTTCAGGAGAGGGAGGTTCAAACAGAAAGGTAATGGAATCTTTGATGGAGATCTTGGAGTTCAAGATATTTTCCCCCTGTTTCTAGGGAGGGGGGCAGAAGCATTGGTACCAGTGGCTGTGTTGTATTGGTGGTTGAATTGGTACTGACAGAAGAGCCTTCATCTGAGATTGGGGCAGCACTGAAGGGTACATCGGAACCAGCAGAAAATCCCTCTTGGTCCTTCTCAACTTAACACCATACATGTGTCTGCCCTCATTTTGCTGCTGTGCCCACACCTTATTCAGGAATGAAAGGACCCAAAGCAGCTGAAAAGCTGTGTGTGCTGTGCAAGCAGCGAGAGGGGAAGAGATGGAAGGGCAAGAGTGATGGAGACTAAACAAAGCAGGACCACATATCTCCACCAAGTGTTCCAAGGCTCACCATGGAGAGAAAAAGTGAGCAAGTAACTGTTTCCATTTAACCACAAATCCACATAGGAGAGGAGTAACAGACATTTACTCAATTCTTCAGGTTATATTCAGCAATAGTTTAGCACTGCTAGGCTTCCCGTGTCCGTATGTGTGGAAGGAGATAGGGTGTGTGTCCAACAATAGTTATTCTCTACCCTCCTCTCCATGACCAAAACCCTTTTACTTGCAGGATCAGCATGAGGACTTAGATACTTTACTAATTTTTACGTTTCTACAAATGCACCCACAACACGTATCTCTAGGGTTGTTGTTTTTTGTGGGGGAGGAGGTTAATTCAAATGTACAAAAATTAATGTCAATTATTTCCTAAAGAGTTCTTCTGCTCTCAAGCAGGTGCTATATTGCTTTTATACTATGTCCTAGAGGTCAACAAATCTGGACTCTGGCAGACTAACATAAAAATTGAATTTCAGAATTAAGGGTACTCTACAAAGAACTTCTTGCCCTTAGCCTCAGATGTTCTGATCTAGAGACTCTTCACTTTCTTCTGAAGGAGATGTGGTAAAAATAGGGAGGCCATTGGAGTAATGGGAATATGAATTGGACCTGCTCTATCTGGTACTAATATGATCATCGGTACTGGGGTCAGTGTCCAGGTCAATGATAAAGGCAGGTGCTTCACAGAAGCAAAAAATGGAGAATATGATTCCCGACAAAATGGTAAGGCCTTTGTAACAACATACAGCTTTGGTGCCAAAAGAGCTGACAATATCATTACCAAGGATACAGGCATGAGGGTAGTGAGTGTCACTACATACAATCTAGATAGGCTCAGTACCAGGCTCAGTACCAGAACCACAGATACAAAAACAGACAGTGGTGCTTCACTAACAGTACTGGTGTGATAAGTACTGATTGTATCAGTATCAGAGTAGCCAGTGCTGTGGAGAGTTAATCATGAGATCTCAGTACAGAGGACCTTACGTTCACCAGTACGGTACCAGAAGAGATCAGAGATAAGTCCATGTCCACATTGTGTTCAGTAACTTCACTATCAGAAAGGGTGTTGTGAGAACAACTTTAAAGTCTTGAGCTACCTTTATGTCTGAAAGTCTGGTAGTTTTATAAGGTTTGGATGCCAAACTTGGAGAAGGTGAGTTGCGTATTTTCTCCTTGTGGCAATTACATTCCTTCTTACTTCTGACTCCAGAGGGTTTTGTCAAAACAGAAGTTTTGGTGGCTGTTTCAACCATCCAGGAACATGAAACTGCAGAAGCACTCAGAGGATCTCTCATCCTTTTTAGTCTCTCATCATTCAATGATTACCTGTTCCGTTCATTCCCTCTGAAGCACCTAGCATAGGCCACTGTCAGAAGACAGGCTTCTGAGCTAGTTGGACCATTGGTCTCACCTACTATGGTTGTTTTTGTGTTATGTTCTTATATGGCTGTGAAGCTTGGGTCAGAGGCTGGGTGCACTGATTGTGCAAGGAAAAGCATCCTGAAGCAAGACTTTCTTGCTTTAAATATGTGAATTTATTTTGCAGCTCTAAAATAGTCTGCAAGTGTCATACCTATCAGGGATGTGTGCTTCCTTCAGGCAGATCAAACATCTTATATGACCATCAGTCGGCAGCATGACAGCTTCACAAGATGGGCAATTTTTTAATCCCAAGGAGTTACGGTTTATCATCGTGAGCGAACTGATACCAAGTACTTCCCAGGGGGAAAAAATATTGTTCCCAAATATTGTTCCCAACTGAAACTACACAAGAAGTACTTAGCTAAACTTAAACTACTGCCAACTAAATAACTGACTATTTAAAATGTATTTACAAGGACAATGGAAGGCAAGCATGCTAAAAGAGGAGAGCTTCGACTCATAGCCATGGGCAGTGAGAAGGAACTGAGGGTAGTTGGGTGGCCTGACCCTTTTTGCCCTCAGTTGGAAGTACAATGACATGCAGGGTTCAAGCGCTGCCCCAACAGGTATTTCTGATTAAAATCTCTATCTTGAGGCACTGGGCAAGCACTTACCAACTATGGAATATCTATATCTATATATGAAAAATCACTTGAAGAAGAATCACAACTCATTCAGTTTTAATCTCCAAGTATCAGATATGAACAGTAATCAATAAATCTGAAAAACAACTTACCTTCTCCATGACAGTAGGAAGTAGAAACAGTTGCATGATGGGCTTCTAGGGAAATAACTGTTTCCTCTGATCCAGCAGTCAGTGAAATTAACTGCTCAAAAAAAGCCAAACAAACAAATTAGTCATAATTTCAATGACTGCATTTTATTCTGTAGTACAGCAAGCACCTGCCACATCCCAAAGTGCAACTGCAAAAGTACAATATGCCATATTGTTGAAGTTAAAAATGATATATCCACTGTCTTCAACTCTACTAGTTTTTGTTCAACTTGTATATTGCCAAAATGGCACCAAATAACAGAAAGCACTTATGTATTGTCAGAATAATCTTTTTGACCTATTAGTTCTTCAATATTTGTTACAAATACACTAGAAAGATGATATCTGAGAATAGCTTTATTAATAAATTTTAACATCTCAGAAACAACTCTAAGGTGATCCCAAAAAAAATAAAAGATGCTCTTGACTGGGAACACATATTTATATATTTCCTAGATAAAATTCTGTCAATATTAAACTACCAAAAATCAATCAAGTTTAGTAAATTAAAATATCTAATTTTTGATGTACATATCTAGTGGGTGCATCCTCACAGAGGGCTTGTAATGCCAGTAACACTACTGTTTTGGATCACAAAAAACTCTGCGTTATCCATCCCTCATTCGTGTCTCCATTTTAATCCCACCATTCTCAAATCCCCATAGCACAGCTTCTATCCTTCCAGATAAGAGGTTCTAAACAGAAAAATGATCAGCCAGATGTGCATTGGCCGAACCATTGGAACACACTGAGCCACTTCTCCACATCACCTTAAAAATTAGGACAAAGCCTCCATGGTGCTCCAAAACCCAAATATTGAGATACTGATGTCTCCTACATACAACAGTACAATGAATAACCACCATAACTTTTGGCTAGCTCAACTCTAGTTATTGTATGAATGGGATTTCCAGTAGCCACTGCAAGTCATAGCTACAGAAATAAGAACATGTTTTTGAAGGAGGTCTACAGGACATATAATATACAGCTGATAATTACTTGAGACTATATACAATTCTCTTTTAAAATATAATCTTGAATGTTCTGAATCCACTGTTTTCCCAAGTTTGATCTACTTTCCACTCAGATCAAAACTGCTTGAAGATGTGATGGATTGCTCCTATAAAAGTCGCCCATTTTTAACAGTAGGCAGCAATCATTTGCAGGTCAGTTAAAGAAGAGGCTGCAAATAGTATTGTTGGTTATCTATTCTGTTTGTAATTCTAAATACTCTGAATCCCACAGCTCTTAGGCCCTATTCGAGGAAAATACTTAAGCGTGCATTTAACATAAAGCATGTGCTTACATCCCAATAAACTCCAATGGGACATAAGGACATGATTATGCATTATCCTGAATTGGGGCCATAGTCCCTGAACTTCCCAGAAATACAATTTTCCTGTAAATTTTCTGTTATGCAATACAGCCGAAAGAGTATTGGATTTCTGCCCTTAAGATGCCTTAAATTCTGCTTTTCCTTCATCAGGTTCACATAAATAGAACACAACAGGCAATCATAAATATGTATGAACACAGTATCTTCCCTGACAGTAAAAAAGTACCAAATTTAGTGTAAAGGCTATATTTAGTTGCAAATCAAAATGTTTTAATAGTTACTAACCAATGAGAATCAATCTTTCTTTAGAAAAGATAACTAAAAATGTACAAATACAAATAGGACTAAAATAATTATTTAAATCACGGTTTCCTGCTTGCTGATTTAAATAATTAATTTAGATTATTTAAATCACTTTGATTTAAATCAATCCCAACCAGGTTGTGTAAACGCTGTAATATTACTACTAAATAATTTGTTGCAAAGATACAGAAAAGACTGTGCCATAGGCCAAAGACTCCCAAACTGTGATCCTTAGACAATTAGTGGTTCACCAACCTCATGCTGGTAATTTACAAAGAGAGAGATTGCCAGTTACATTATTTTGGTTTCTCCTTATTTACAACTATTAAATTGAATTAAAGGACAGATAAACAACTCTGAACTTGGACTAGTTCAGATGGAAATGGGAAACAATTATTTAAAAATAAATAAGACTCATGCCTATCATATGCCTTTATAAATTTTGATATTATGAGAATAATGCCATCCTTGTTTTTATTTTAGATATGCTATTAAAAAAGAAAAAGGAAAGATGTATAGAATTTCTATAATATACTCCATAAAAGAGGTGGAAAACGTATTTTATATACATTTTTAACATTATTTTTAAATTAAAACTGCTATAGTTGCAGCAGGGATGTCATGCAATTGTGAATGAAACGGGAGGTGATTCCATTGAAATGAAAAGGAAAGAAAATGGTCCAGAGAGAACAATTATTAAATATGTGATCCACCCTATAAACAAGTTTGAGAACCCCTGCCAGAGAACCTAGGCTAGAAATAAATTTAGTTTTTCCTATCAGCCATGTAAGCACTGATCAGTGTTACAGAGGCAACATACTGTCTCATGAGGGAGGAACACAGAAGAGTCATTTTAGGAAGCAGTGGAGAAAGCAGATAAAGCAGTCTGCACTTCTGTTTTCAATGTCTCAGTAATGCCTTTTAACTATGGCTGTCAAGCGATTAAAAAAATTAACCACAATTAATCCCGCTGTTAAATAATAGAACAACATTTATTTTTCAATGTTTTCTACATTTTCAAATATATTGATTTCAATTACAACATAGAATACAAAGTGTACAGTGCTCACTTTATATTTATTTATTATAAATATTTGCAATGTAAAAAACAAAAGAAATAGTATTTTTCAGTTCCCCCATTACAAGTACTGTATTGCAATCTCTTTATCATGAAAGTTGAACTTACAAATGTAGAATTATGGACAAAAATAATTGCATTCAAAAATAAAACGATGTAAAACTTTAGAGCCTACGAGTCCACTCAGTCCTATTTCTTAGTGAGCCAGTCGCTCAGACAAACAAGTCTGTTTACATTTGCAGGAGATAATACTTCCCACTTCTTGTTTATGTCACCTGAAAGTGAGAACAGGCATTCACATGGCACTGTTGTAGCCGGCGTTGCAAAATATTTACGTGCCAGATTTGCTAAAGATTCATATGTCCCTTCATGCTTCAACCACCATTCCAAAGGACATGCTTCTATGCTGATGACAGGTTCTGCTCAATAACGATCCAAAGCAGTACGGACTGACGCATGTTCATTTTCATCATCTGAGTCAGATGTCACCAGCAGAAAGTTGATTTTCTTTTTTGGTGCTTCGGGTTCTGCAGTTTCCACATCAGTGTTGCTCTTTTAAGACTCCTGAAAGCATGCTCCACACCTCATTCATCTCAGATTTTGGAAGGCACTTCAGATTCTTAAACCTTGAGTCAAGTGCTGCAGCTATTTTTAGAAATCTCATACTGGTACCATCTTTGCGTTTTGTCAAATCTACTGTGCAAGTGTTCTTAAAATAAACAACATGTGCTGGGTCATCATCCGAGACTGCTGTGACATGAAATATATGGCAGAATGCGGGTAAAACAGGACAGGAGACATGCAATTCTCCCCCAGTGAGTTCAGTCACAAATTTAATTAACACTTTTTTTTAAACGATCATCATCAGTATGGAAGCATGTCCTCTGGAATGGTGTCCGAAGCATGAAGGAGCATATGAATGTTTAGTATATTTGGCACGTAAATACCTTGCAATGCCAGCTACAAAAGTGCCATATGAACACCTGTTCTCACTTTCAGGTGACATTGTGAATAAGAAGTGGGCAGCATTATCTCCCATAAATGTAAACCAACTTGTTTGTCTTAGTGATGGCTGAACAAGAAGTAGGACTGGGTGGACTTGTAAGCTCTAAAGTTTTACATTGTTTTGTTTTTGAGTGCAGTTATGTAACAAGAAAAAAATCTGCATTTGCAAGTTACACTTTCACAATAAAAAGACTGCACTACAATACTTGTATAAGGTGAACTGAAAAGTATTTCTTTTGTCATTTTTACAGTGCAAATATTTGTAATCAAAAATAATATAAAATGAGCACTGGACATTTTGTATTCTGTGTTATAATTGAAATCAATATATATGAAAATGTAGAAAAACATTCAAAAATATTTAATACATTTCAATTGATGTTCTACTAATTAATTGTGATTAATTTTTAATTAATTGCATGAGTTAACTGCGACTAATTGACAGTCCTACTTTTAGCTATTAAAAATGAGACAGATATCAGTCAGAAACACACCTGGGTGAAAACTACCAATATCTACTCTGAGCTATTCTAATGTCTTCGGTAGATGTATTTATTTGCATGGAAAATATGGGCCCGAATAGTCAGAGGTGTTAACATAATCCAATCACCAAAGAACATTAAACACTCAAATAATGTTCAGAGTTTGGTATACAGAAATCTTAGCCTGTTTAGTACCATGAGAAACACATCATCAAAATCTTCTTAACATTTTATTAAAGGACACAGAAAAAGAAGGAAAAACAGTTAAGCATTTGAAATGTAAATATTAAATAAGGTTTTCATTTTAACAACATCCCTTGCTCCCTTTAGTGGGAGACAGGTTTCAGAAGGAAAAATCTCGTTTGACAGTCTCTTAGATTGTATTAAAGATGGCAAAAACTGTCCTTTTGGAGAAAACAGAAGAAGTTAGTAGAGATGGGCTGGAGCTGTTATTGTTGCTGTTTAAGTCCGATCCCATTTCTTAAGAACACAAAACAAGATAAACACATACAAAAGGGGAGAGAAAACAAACAGCAAAGATAGAAAATGCAGCTTCTGTCTGTGGTGCTGAATTTCACTTGCAACCTCACAGGTAGAAAAACACAGGCTCAACACATGGTCTTAATAGCCACTTGGAGAGCTGACTAATTTGCACCTGCTTCAAAAAGCTTAGATGCTTTAGTTGCCTCTCTGGTCACAGGCTTAAAGCGGTGTGGCAAAATATACAATCTTAGCTGGCTAAGTCAGACACTTATTAGACAGAAGGAAAAAGGAGAGAGGAGGAGAAGAAGATATAAAATAGAGAAAGATAAGGAGGTGGGATGTGTGGGATGTGTGGGAGGAAGGAA